AACTGCTTGCTCTTCCAGAGCACCTCTATTCAGTTTCAAGCACCTACATGGTGGCAACAACCATCTGTAACTCCATTCCAGGTGTTCTGATGCCCTTTAATAGCCTTTGTGGGCATTGCACGCATGCATTGCACTTACATACATTCAGGAAAAACACTAATATACATAAAATAAATATAAATAAACCAAAAAATGATGAAGTAAAAATGCCTATATCTAATTGTATAGTCCCAATATGTTTCTGAAATATATAATTATGGAAGTAAAATAGTTGGTGGTACATTGAATTTGAATTTTTGTTCCTCTACTCTCTGCTAAATCATTTTCTTTCTAGCAAATTGCCTTAAATGATATTCCCACCAATAGTGTACACATTTCTCCAACTCACAAATCAGCAGTAATTACTAGAGAAATCTAACATGCTTAACACATTAAAAGGTTAAACAGATAGTGAGTGATATTGATCAGTCTCAGTATTACAATTTATTGCAAGTCAAGAAAAATTTTGTTTGTTTGGACTACTCAAAAATTTAATAATGATTCAAAATAGTTACCATTTGATATTTCTTGAAGAATAAACACAACTTTGCTACCTAAGGTAGTTTTGGCTAATTTAAAGCAACTTCATTAATTTTTAAAAATATTTTCTTTGGGGATGGAGAGATAGCTCAGCGGTTAAGAAGACTGGTTTTTCTTGCAGAAGACTTGGGTTCAAATCCAAGCACCCACATGGCAGCTAACAACTGTCTGTAACTCCAGTCCCAGGGGATCCGAGAGCCTCTCTGTCCTTTGCGAGCATTCATTGCACGACACGAGTGCACTTACCTACATGCAGGAAATACACATGTACACATAAAATAAAAATTAAATTAAAAAATTATTTTCTTTATTATTTTTATTTTATGTATGTGCATGTATTGCCTGCATGTGTGCCAGTACATCCATGTGGTACAATGCCTGAGGAGGTAAGAAGAAGGCATCTGTTTCCCCGGAACTGGAGTTATAAACAGTTGTTAGCCACCATGTGGGTGCTGGGAAGCAAACCTGGATTTTTTTCAAGAGCAGTGGGTGCTCTTAGTTGCTGAGCCATTTCTCAAGCCCCAAGTTTCATTAATTTTGATGTGCTAAAGTTCCATTCAATTTTTTAATTTAATGTGGGAATTTATTCTTTCAAATATTACTAAAAATATACAGCATATATATTTTTCAGTTTTTAAAACTTTTTATTAACTAAATTGACAAGTTCATACATGTATATAATGCATTGTAATTAGTCTCACTCCCTTCTTTTCCTTATCTCCTTCCTACCCCTGTCATTCACCTCTCCTTCCTACAAATACTTTTTCCTCTGTTTTTTTTTTTTTTTTTTTTTGTGATCCACTGAGTTTAATGAGGGCTGCTTGTGTGAACATAGGTTTCAAATTATCCTTTGGACCCTTGTAGTCTCAGCAATGAGTACACAACAAAAGACACTTAACTCCTCCCCTCCCAGAATCTATCAATAGCTACTAGTCAACAAGGAGAGTTAAAGCATCATGACCTTCTCCCCCACCATGACTGATTGTTGATAGGGCCAATCTAGAGCAATCTGGGTGCAGGTAATCAAAGTTACTGTGAGTTCATAATTGCAATGGCCATGTCACATCTGGAAAACAGCATGTTGAAACCTTCCTCCGTATCTTTGAGTCCTTCCTTTCTTTCTCTTCCCCTTTCCAAGATGTTCCCTGAGACTTGGAGGAGGTTGTATAAATGTCTTTTTAGGGCTGAGAATATCATTTATTAATTGCCATCAATTGGCAAAAGTTCTTTAGGTTGGGTTGGGATTTCTTACCTACTTTCCATGTCTATGCTTGGATTTTGTCTGGTTTGAGCTTGCATGAGACTTGTGCATGTTGTCACCATTGATGTGCGTCCATATGTGTAACTGACCAGCCCTCTGGAAGACTGTTTCCTTGTGGTCATACACCCTCTCTGGCTCCTACAATCTTTCTGTTTCCTCTTCCAAAATGATCCCTGAGCCTTGGGAGGCAGAGGTTTGAAATAGCTGTCATACTTGTGAATAAGCACTCTGCTGCTTCTTATTCTCTGTACACTGGCTAATTGTGAGTGTCTGTGTTCATCACCATCTGCTGCATAAGGAAATTTCTCTGGTGAAATTTAAGAGAGGCATTCACCTTAAGTGTAGAGGTTACATCAAAGATGTGATGCTTAATGTTAAGCATGTCTCACAGACACTTCTCTGCATTTGACCAATTCTGGAATTCAGTAATAGCCTCCATCTTTTGTAAAACGAAACTTGCTTGATGAGGGGTGAAATATGAAGATGGATATTTAGAATAAAGTAAGACATTACATTGTTCTAGGGATGTGGCAAAAGTAGATTTTTCCTCTTGGTTCTTATGGCCTCTCCAATCATGTGTATTTGGCTATGTTTACAGTACCCCTCAAGCATTTCCTCCCATTGAGCAGGCCTTAATTCCAATTGGACAGCTATTGATTAGCCCCAAGATAAAAGTGCCATTACTACACTAATAGCAAAAGTCTGCAGGGTCAGTCATTGTTGTTTACGGAGCTTCACAACTGGGTAGGACCATTGATTGGTTTTCTCCCTTGGGAACTTGTATGGTATCCTCTGATAACATGAGAGCTAGTCCTCAGGGAGGAGGCTTCCAGGTCAGTTCCAGCTTTATTGATCCAAGTCTCGTACCAGAAGTGTGGCTTCTTCAACAAGTATCTTACCTTCAAGTTCTGGGTGGCAATGGCAATAGCTTATGTTATTTGGGGAGTCACTTTGACTACCCTGATCAACAACTTGGAGGGAAGTTTCTTCTGCTGAGCACTGTGTTTTTGTACTTGTGTGTGCCTGTATTTATTATATGTATATTTTTCAGCAGAACTTTGAATTAATACATTTATTTCTGGTTTTTCATACTGTCTAAGCATTATTTATCTCTCCTCTCATTGCCTTTCCCTACTCCTCCCTTGTCTTGATTTCCCTAGTAATAACACCTATTTTCTAATACCCCCCCTCTGTCAAACTCCTTCTTCCCACTTATCCCCCATGGTTCATGTCCATTTTCTTGACTCCTGTGGTTACATCAGTATGTGTACTCACATTTAGGGATTTGGAGCCTAAGATCCACAAATGAGAGAACATATGCCACTTGGTTTTCTGAGTTTATGTTACTTCACTTAAGATAACAGTTTCTAGTCCTATCCATATGCCTGCAAATTTCATGGTTTTGTCTTTCAGAATGGCTAAGATTAAGAGAACAATTGACAGCAAATGCTGGCTTGGATGCAGGGAAGAGGGAACACTCATCCACTGTTGGAGGGATTGCAAACTAGTGCAATCACTGTGGTAATCAGTATGGAGAACTATTAAAAATCTAAAAGTTAATCTACCGTAAGCCTCAGTCACACCACTCCTTGGCATATACCTAACAGACCCATCTTAATGCAGAGATACTTGCACAGTCATGTTTATTGTTGTTCTTTTCACTGTAGCTAAGGAATGGAAAGAACCGAAATGTTTCTCAGCTGATGAATGGATAATGAAAATGTGATACATTTGCACAATGAAGTTCTACTCATCAATAAAGTCAAAATCATGAAATCTTTCATGTGATTTTGACCAGGTTTACAGTACTATATATGTATTCCATCCTGTGGATCAGGCTTTGTTGGCAATAATAATAATCATAACACCTGTTGTATAATTACAATTAGACAGCTGTTGACTACCTACAAGATAAAAGTGCCATGATCCATCAATAGCAAAATTCCACAGGATCAGTCATTGTTTACTAGGCTTCACAACTGGCTAGGACCTCTGATTGGTTTTCTCCCTTAGAACCTTGTACAGTATCATGCCTGGTTGGCTGGTTGGTATTGAAGCATATTGTGTCCACAGCTGAGTTAGACCATTGATGCCTTTCTCATCCAGCAGCCTTCATAATACCTTCCAACAGTATGAAAGCTAGCCAACAGGCAGGAATCTTCCATTTCAGTCCAGCTACATTGTTCTATATCTTGCAACTACAGTATGTGATATTGTCAGTAATAGTCTTATCATCTAGTTCTGGTGGAGCTTTAATTCTTCTGGGGCCTCTAGGGGCTCCCTGACAAATAAGTTACTTTGGAGGTATCTCATACTCGGTACTGGAAATTTTCTTTAGTAATGCACAGTTCATAGGAACATCATTGTCCAGCAAAGCACTATCTCTCCTTTCTAACTCCTTTTAAAATTATATTTTTAATTGTGTTAACAGTTAGTAGATTTCCATAGGGCTTCTACATGCACCCTTCGTTTTGATTAACACCTCCCTATGTTATCCATCTCCTCCCCTTTTTTACTCCCCTCCCTGCTTAAACTTTTTCACACCCAGTATTCCTCCATTCCTCCCCTCTAAGTTCATTTAACCCAGTCTACTATGTTCCTCCTTTAAAGCATACACCCCCAGTGCCCTCTCCCTGCACTGTCCTCCTTCTAGTTTTCTGGCTTCTATAGGTTTTAAGAGATAAAAATAACTAAAGATTCAAAGCTACGATATACATATGTGGGAAAAGATGCCACATTTGTATTTCTGGACCTGAGCTACCTCACTGAGTATATTATTTTCATGTACATCCATTAACCCGGATATTTCATAATTTCATTTTTAGAACTAATATTCCACTTTGAATATGTACCACATTTTCATTATCTAGTCATCATTTGATGGAAACCTTTCTTGTTGTAAATAGAACAATGTGCAGTTATCTCTCTTGTAATTTACAGAGTCCTTTGGGTATTTGTCCAGGAATTACATAGTGGATTATATGATAGTTCTATCTCTAGTTTTTGGCAAAATCTCCACATTACTTACCAAAGTGGCTGCACTAGTTTACAATCTCTCCTGGAGTGCGTAAGAACTCCCCTTTCCCTACATCTATGGAAACATTTGTTATAATCTGTGTTGGCACTGGCAATTCTGACTAGGCTATGATGGAATTTTTATAAAAATATGGAATGCTTCACCACTGTGTACGTCATCAATGCACAGGGGCCATGCTAACCTTCTCTGTACCATTCCGTTTTTAGTATGTGTTCTCCTGAAGCCACCACTAATTGACCAAATACTCTCTGTTCTGTACAAGCAGAAATTTTTAAAAATTTGAAGCATGTCTCAAATGGTTTTCTGATATTTATAAGTAGTGTGTATTAATATGACTTAGTAATTTAATTGAAATTTCATAACACCTTGATAGGTTAAAAAGTAAATTGTTTTCCCATGGCAAGGAATTTTTATTTCAATAATGTTTTATACTTCATGTATTCCCAAAATCATGATGCATCTAATTATAGATGCACCCTGTTGAATGTAGATTATAGGGTGCTAAATTTTTTAAAAATTTTATTTATTATTTTTATTTTGTGTGTGTTAGTGTATTGCTTGCATGTAGGTAACTGTACCTATGTCGTACAATACCCATGGAGGACAGAAGAAGCTGTCGGATCCCCTGGAACTGGAGTTGTCGACAGTTGTTAACTGTCATGTGGGTGCTGGGACTCAAACCTGGGTATTCTGCAAGAAGAGTCAGTGTTTTTAACCAATGAGCCATCTTTCCAGGCCCTTAGGGTGCTGAATTTTTATTTTAAGTTAATCTATAACAGCATCCTGGAGTTCTGGATTGTTAGAAGTCATGGGTTTAAGAAAATCAAACGTAAGAACAAGATACATTGATTGTCAAAGATAGGAAAGACTTTGTCTAGAAATTTAAAATCAAAATATGAAAAGTCAAACTACTTGAAATTTGGGATCACTTGCTCTCCTCTGTTCTCTTTTGTAATACTGAAAAGAAAAGCAGCAGCCATTGCATTGTTCTGCATTTTCTCAGCGCTTTGAACCACAATTTCCTCAGTGCCACAGCTGCTAATATTGATTTTACAACTTCCTGTAAAGGAGGTATATTCCAATTTTCCCATAGCCACAAATAGTGTTTTGTTCTCACATCGTTATAATTTAGAAAGAGTATTTTGTTTGACTTCTGCAGTTGAAACGTTCTACGGAAAATGAGAAACACAGTAAAGTATTATACAGAGGTGGAAGATAGATCAGAAAGATCACAAATAAATGTTTTAACATTGCAATTTAAGACACTTGAAAAGCAACATCAAACGAAACCCAAACCCAGCAGACAAGAAGAAATAACAAAAATCAGGGCAGAAGTTAATGAAATTGAAACAACGAAAACAATACAAAGAATCAATGAATCTAAGAGCTGGTTCTTCGAAAAGATAAACAAGATTGACAGACAGCTAGCCCAGTTAACGAAAAGAAAGAAAGAGCACGTCCAAATCAACAAAATCAGAGCTGAAAGGCGAAACATCACAAAAGACACCAGAAAGATACAGAACATTATAAGAGAATACTTTAAAAACCTATATGCTACTAAATTTGAAAACCTAAAAGAAATGGATGGATATATAAAGGCATGGGAACCACCAAAACTAAACCAAGAAGAGGTTAACAGCTTAAATAGGCCCATAACATGAAAAGAAATTGAAGCCGTAATACAGAACATGCCTACTAAAAAAAGCCCAGGACCAGATGGAATTGCAGCAGAATTCTATCAGACATTTAAAGAAGACCTATATCCAATTCTACTTAATTTATTTAAAAAGATAGAAATTCCTCTATGAAGTCAGCATCACTCTAATACCAAAGCTAGGTAAAGATACAACCAAAAAAAGAAAACTATAGACCTATATCCTTAATGATCACAGATGCAAAAATTCTCAAAAAGATACTTACAAGTTGCATGCACACACACATCAAAAAGGTCATCCACCATGATCAAGTTGGCTTTATCCCAGAGATGCAGGGATGGTTCAGTATATGTAAGTCAATAAAAGTCATAAATCACATAAATGGGCTCAAAGACAAGAACCACATGGTCATCTCAATAGATGCAGAGAAGGCCTTTGACGAAATTCAACATGCATTTATGTTCAAAGCACTAGAGAGAATTGGACTGGAGGGAACATAACCCAACATAATTAAAGCCAAATATAATAAACCCCACAGTAACATCATTCTAAATGGAAAAAAAAGCTGGAAGCATTCCAATTGAAATCAGGAACCAGACAAAGCTGTCCACTATCAATAAGACAAGAGAAGGAAATTAAAGGAGTAATAATTGGAAAAGAAGAGATCAAATTATCCCTTTTTGCAGAGGATATGATATTATACCTAAGGGATGCCAAAAATTCCACCCGAAAACTCCTAGAAATTATTATCACGTTCAGTAAAGTGGCAGGTTACAAAATTAACCTACAGAGTCTGTAGCCTTTCTATGTACCAATTACAAGCAATCAGAGAAAGAGCACATGGAAAGAATCGCCTTCACAATAGCTGCAAAAAAAATATCTCAGAGTAAACCTGATGAAAGACATTAAAGAGCTCTACAATTAAAATTTTAAATCTTTTAAAAAAGAGATTGAGGATGACATGGACCATCCATGCTCATGGATTGGAAGAATTAGTATTTTGAAAATACCATCATAACAAAAGGCATTTATAGATTCAATGCAATGCCAATAAAAATCCCATGACATTTTTCACAGAACTGGAAAAAAATCCTAAGATTCATATGGAAGCACAAAAGACCTCAGATAGCCAAAGCAACCCTGAGCACTAGCAGCAATGCCAGGGGAATACTATGCCATATTTTAAGCTGTTTACAGAGCAATAGTCATAAAAACAACATGGTACTGGCATAAAAAATAGACCCATAGATCAATGGAACAAAATTGAAAACCCAAATATGAGTAAATGCAATTTCAGCCACCTGATATTTGACAAAGGGGCCAAGAATTTTCACTAGAGGAAAGACAGCATGTTCAGCAAATAGTGCTGGCAAAACTCGATCTCCACCTTTAGAAGCATGAAACTAAGCTCCTATCTTTCACCTTACACAAAATTCAATTCCAAATGGATCAAAGACCTCAATGTAAAGCCTGAAACTCTGAAACTGTTAGAAGAAAACATAGGGAAAAACAAGAAGACATAGGTGTAGGAAAGGATTTTCTAAACCAGACATCACTTGTTCAGGAAACAAGGGCAAGAATTATCAAATGGGACCTCATTAAACTAAAAAGCTTCTGTACATCAAAGGAAGCAACCTGGGAAGCTAACAGAAAACCCAAAGAATGGGAGAAAATCTTCACCAGCAACACATCAAACAGAGGTTCAATATCCAGAATATATAACGAAATAAAAAAAAAAAACAGAGACTCAAGACAGGAAGCAACCCAATCAAAAGATGGGCATAAGAGCTGAACCACTTTAAGATTACACCTTACCCAAGTCAGACTGTATAAGATCAAGAGAACAAATGATACCAAATGTTGGAGAGGATGTGGGGAAAGGGGAATGCTCATCCACTGCTCGTGGGGCTGCAAACTTGTTCAATCCCTATGGAAAGCAGTATGGAGAACTCTTCAGAAACTACAAATGAACCTACCATTTGACCCAGTTATACCACTCCTTGGCATACAGCCAAAGAACTCATCCTACTGCAGAGACACTTGTACATGCATGTTTCTTGCTGCTCTTTTCACAATAGCTAAGAGATAGAAGCAACCTAAGTGTCCCTCAATTAACGAGTGGATGATGAAAATGTAGTTCATTTATTTGATGGAGTTTTACTCAGGAGTAAACAAAGATGAAATCATGAAATTTGTAGGTAAATGGATGCAACTAGAAACTGTTATACTAACTGAGGTAACACAGACTCAGAAAAAAAAATCAACATATGTTCTCCCTCATATGTGGATCCTAGAACCAAACCCTAATAAATGAGTATGCATCCAGACATAACTACAGGAACCAGGATAATGGAAAGGAAACAGGGAGGTAAAGGAAAAGAAAGAACCCGAAAGAGAAGAACTGTAAGAAACAGGACTTAATAAGGGAGATGCTGATAAATATTCGGTTAAAGTGAGGGGGGAGGGAAGGGTATCCAAAGGGAAAGAAAGAGCTCAAGAGAGATAGGACTGTAGGAAAAGGGTATCATTAAGGGAGAAAGGGGGATAATGGAGGCTCCTTAAGTGGGAAAACCATGATGGAGGCATGAGACAATACGAGAGATAAATAATGCCAGCTACGTTTGAAAAACAGAGGGAACCATATTACTCCAACAACCTACTGACAATTTATACATAGCAGATCAAGAAATATGTGTCTAGGTATGGTTTATCTGAGAACAATTGGTCTTTGCCCAAGATTTATCTACATGACACACAGTAATTAAAAGTACCAGTCTGGTGGAACTAACCTTCTTGGATGTTTAACAGACATACCTTGAGGCCTATAATAATTTGGTCAGAGGGACATAAAGGACAATTTTTGCTCCTTGCCTTCCTAGGTCGACTATTTCCAGGGGACTATTTGCATCTGTCAAAATGTCCTGTAATTGTGGTGGGTCACCTGTCCTCTTGATCAAGGAAGCCAAGGAGACCCCACCAGATGGACTTGAACTAGTGTCCAGCCTACAAAGAGGAGTGTCAACACAGAGGAATCATTTCCTCCATGCTTCACGTGAAGCCAGCCATGGTCAAGTAGGACCTTTGACTTATCTTCACACAAGCCCATGTGACCCCCTGAGGAACAGATTGTCAAACAACCTTAAGATTAAAAATAAATTGGTTTATCTGGGCCAAATCTATGGTCTTAAATACCCAAAAGGAAAGTATACCCAAATATTAAAGGGGGTCAATATAATTTTTAAGAGTTCATATGTATAGCTAAAGGCTACATAACAAGAAACAACGCCAGATAGGAAATACCTTCTTTTGATTTGTTGGCCAGGATGGCCAAAGGGACTCCCAGAGAGTAACCTAGCATAGAACTGGGTACATGAACAGTAGACCCCAATCTTATCTAAAGGAATGTTGGCCACTGATTGCTGCTAGATCAGGAACATCTCACCTTCCTAAAACAAAGACCCCTAGATAGGCTGACTAGATTCACCAGATGGACAAGTAGTGGGGATGGGCTGGGGGTGCCAACAACACAGCAGACAGTAGCTGGGATATCAGAGTATAAGGTCTCTAGCGGG